AGAAGTGGGGGAGCCCCATCTGTGGAAACAGTCAAGGCCAGCTTGGAAGGGGCTCTGAGTAACCTGCTCTAGCTGAGGTGGTCCCTGCTCATTACAGGGGGGTTTCACTAGCTGAATTTTAAAGGTCCTTTCCAACTCAAAATATTCCATGATTCTACCATTTAACCAACTGTCTTGGGTTAGAAATGCAAGATGTGGCTGGGGGTGTGTATTCTGTCCCCATCTGTCAGGAGTGGGGCAGTTATCAGTTAACTTTTAATTGGGCAGTTTTTTCTTTAGCTCTCCCACAGCCAATCCTCCCTCCAGGAGATCTCTGCTGTCCATGGCCACTGAGTGTCCCTGCATGGCTGATCCAATTCCATCATCCAATGGGGATATGCTCCGCCTAGGGGAGGAGCCAAGCATTCCTACCTGGATCCAATCTGAGGTTTGGGACAGCCCAGCAGCCTTTGCCCAGTGCATTCCCAGAGGAGCAGCTTTCTGCTGCCCTGCATTGCCAGAGGGAGCCCAGGCCCATCTCCAGCAGCCCTGGGGCTGCAGAGGAAAACTCCCCCCTTGTGCAGGATCCCTGCTCCAGCAGAACCACAGCTGGCACTGCAGGAGGGCTGAGCCCCCATGGGATGGGGCTGTGCCACCACCCTGACACACGGGGGGGCAGCTCCTGCTCTAACTCTGGCAGTGTTGTTTTGTATTACTGCATTTTTATTTTATTTTTTCCTACTAATGAACTGTTATTCCTACTCCCATATCTTTGCCTGAAAGCCCCTTAATTTCAAAATTATAATAATTCAGAGAGAGGGGGTTTACATTTTCCATTTCAAGAGAGGCTCTTGCCCTCCTTAGCAGACACCTGTCCCTTCAAAGCCAGACACTAATTCCAACAAGAAATCTACATGAGTAGAGTACAGCTTTATTTCCCTTTTATGATTTCATTCGTAGAGACAGTCCTGATGTGACAACTCGTTTTTCCTGCAAGTGCTAGGCATCCTGGGCTCTTGCTGGTCCCAGGGAGCTCTGGAATTCCCAGTTTTAGGTGGCACAGACCTAAAGCCTGGAAGAGCTTTCCCTCCACCTGGCTCCCTGGTGTTCTGCTCCCCCAAACCACGCTTCCCTCTGCGTGTTCTGTCCACCTCAGAGGCTTTGGAACTGTGTGTTCCAGCCGAGTCTGCCTTGCAATTCCCAGGGCTTGGGAGCCGCCTAGTGGAGTCCTCTGTGAGTCCCAAAATTCTGCCAGTCCTCCTCCTTATCACTGCATTCCTGGCTGACACCATTCCCAGCACTGCTTTTACAGCTGAGCACCACAGAAGGACTTCACTTGGACTTCATGTCTTGGTCTTTTCTACAGCAATAGGAGTCACTTTCTAAGGTGTAAAACGGAAGGAAAAAAAAAAGAAAAACAAAAAGGTAGGAGCAGAACTGGAATTAAGTGCTGATTTCCCACTGTGACAAAGGTATTTTCTAACCTCCCAGATCTCTGCATTAGACCTGTGGCCAGTAGTAACAAGGAACTTTGTTCTGCAGACCCAAGTCCCAACAAAATTAGAAAACACAGAAGTAGGCCATGACACTCCCTATACTACTAACATAAAACATCAGTCTGATTCTCCAGCATCAAAACCTATCAGAATAGGCAGCTGTAAACTAAACAAAATTGCAATCACAAACAAAATCCCACATGAGCACACAAGCACTGGGATATCACTGATGCATCAGGGTGAGCAGCAGTTATTCTGATGCAGGTGTGTATAAAATCAGTAGAAAGCTCTGAATCAGACTCTGATTTTTAGTTTTCATCTGTTATTGCTTTGCATGCTGAGGTTAATTAAAGATGAAAACCATAATTAACCTTGTTTTAAGCCAGTGTGTAGTTTGGGAGTAAAATCTGGTGTATTTGTGCACTACTTGGATCTGACAAGAGTTGGGAATTCCCTCTTGTTTTCAGGGCTGTAATAACACAGGGCAAGGCATTAGGACAGCATCCATGGCTCAGGAAAAGCCAAGGAAAAAGACAAGGAAAAGCCAAGGAAAAAGGGTGAGGGAGCCCTGGGAGTCAGGGATGTTCCCAAAGCGCAAAATGAAAAATTTCTTGTGATTCCTGTGAGGGGCTGAGAAACCAGAGTGGGACTGGAGGAAAAATAACCTGATTTATTGTGGCACTTCTCTAGTTATCCCACCTGAAATGACAGAAAGAAACTGACTTATAAAAAAACCCAAACCAACAAAACATAGAATGCAATCATATGAGTGAAATAATATCTTAAGGAAATGTCATTCTTCCCCCTAATCAAGTGCACACTATGAACTGATTTCAACATTGCTTTTAAAATACATAAAGCTCCATCCAGCATCTGAAATCAAAACCACAAACACAGATGGAGCTGAAAATGCCTATTGTTCCTTTGAAAATATCTAACAGCTGTTAAAACAGACACCAAATGGTAAAAAGGTGGGAAAAATGCAGCAAAGAAGCAGCATTGACAAGAAAAGGATAGCATCTCAGCCAGGGAGAGGAGAAGAACAGGCATATTCACCTTCATTTATACACTTGTTTCCTTTTAAAGTTTGAGAGGCCTGTCAAATAAAGGGACTAATGGTCATGAGAAAAAGAGTTCCTTGAGTTAAAAGCAAACTTTTCATTTAGTGTGTAATATCCTGTGCACTGAGACCAATGTCTTCCCAGGCATGCCAAAAAATCCTGCTTTAAATCACCGTCAGACATACCTATAGTATAGATTAGCTCTAGATACAGATTAGATATATAGGTATAGGTATAGATAGATATAGATATAGATATAGATATAGATAGATATAGATATAGATATAGATATAGATATAGATATAGATATAGATATAGATATAGATATAGATATAGATTAGATATAGATATAGATATAGATATAGATAGATATTTGGGTTTTTTTTACAGATTATATATAGCTGGTATATAACTATAGATAGTTATAGATTAGATATAGATATATTTGTTTATTATACAGATTATACATAGCTGGGAAAAAAACATTTCTGTGTATATCTAGGCTGAAGAGAAGTGGAAAACATACAACAACCAAAGCAAAATAAATGTAAAAACCCAACAAAGCTCAGGATTTTACGAGGTACTGTGGCCTTCCTAGAATTGTGCATTGGACATGGACCAGCATTGCCATTGCCACGAGATCATGGTTTAATAAACATGGGAATGCCCCCATTTGTACAAATCCTTGGAAGGATTTCTAGGATTTGTAGGAATCCTTCTGGTCTTTCAGCTGTGGGTGATTCTAAGAAATGATTGAGCAGCTTCACAGAATCTAACTCTATATGCAGAATGTTTAGGCTTATCAAGGGGGTACAGCAGTTCAAGATATTTTACCTTTTAGATTATTTTCCCTGTCTTAAGATAAAGGAAAGAAATTAAATATCTGTATGTTGGCTTCTAAATATGCATTCATGAAAGGAAGTGTGTAATTTTGAATTCCGCAGTCATTACCAGGGACAGATGTGAGACTCAGAGAACAACTCTGAAGGGTTCCAGGTTCACCTCAGAGGTTAGAAAAGGGATTTATTTTCCTATGTTGATCTTCCCGGGTGTTGCAGCTGATTATTTTGTGGAAAAGAATGTCAATATATTCCATAGGACAGAGTCGAGGAAATTCAGATTTCCCAAGGTGTCTGCTCTCAGGTCAAGCTCTCTGTCCCCTCAAGCAGGAGCTCTGGAGTAAACTGAAATGTCACTGGACTGAAAAATCAAATATTAAACTCTCTGTGCATCACTGGCTGTGCCTGTAAATAGGAGCTGGCAAATTGTGTGCCCCTCTTAGGTTGAAGCAATACTAAAATACAGAATACTGCTCTGTGCACTGGGGTGAAATTTGCCTGCGAAGCACACATAAGCACTGTGCAAAAATCAAACACACAGAGGAAAAAATCTGCTTGCTATGGCATACACACTCTCTTGAATTCTGCAATCATCACATGCTTACACATGAGGCAGTTAGAAAGAAAAAGAAAGCGTGGTAAATGCGATGAAAAAATAAAAAAAATAATGTAGAAAAAGAAAAATGGGAGGGGGGAAAAGTGAAGAGGTGGAGAATTCTGAGAAACAGAGGCGTCCAGCTTGGCTTCAGCTACAAAGGGAGCTTTTTAAGCTCCTAACACATGGTTTTCTAGCAAATAGTGCTGGCATGGCCCTGAGTTTTTCCAAACAAGGCATTCAGTCAGGAAAATTATGAAATCAAATAAATACAAATTGCCTCCAATGCAGTCGGTTCATGTAAGTTAATTTTAATTAATTTTTAAGTCTGACTAAATAGAATTATTATTCCAAAAGAAGATGTCTGTCATAGACTCCACTGAATGGACACAGAGCTGTGTTAAGGGTATTGTTTTCAGCTGGAAAAGTAGTGTCAAGAGAAAAAGGAGGAGGAACTTCTTTTAAAAACAGTTTACTGTCTAGTTTCCAGTCCCACTGTAAATAGGTTGGATAGTGGAAGTGAAATGAGTTGCTTTAGATGGTTTTACAGGCACAGACACCAAGCACCAGACCTCCCTGTGTTCCACCCACTCTGAATCCACTCTGACCTGCACCAAGCACACTCTGTAGGATTGGTCACATGGGAAAGCAGATGGGAGGAGAAAGGAGGGGAAAATAAATTACTTTTATTTGTATTACTTGATAAAATTTGGCCTACAGGCTCGATGTGACTCAGTGCTGAACATCTGGGATTAATCATAGGATCACAAACTGAGAAGTAGTCATCTGGCTCCTAGAAATAAACACATTCAGTCCCTCTGCCACAATGTTACTTCCTTAATGATAGAATGCAACAGCCATTTTAAGTCCTTTTAATCTTTTCAGCCACAGTATTTTTTAACTTTTTAGTAATTTTTACTATTATTTTTTCACTTCAGATGATGGTAAATTGCATTTGACTGTGGACTGGCAGCGTTGGGGATTGCCCACAGAACTGATTCACCACTTTCCTCCAAAATTTTCTGGTGCCATGGTAGCCTTACAGGTCCATTTCTTGCTGGTTCCATCCCTCGTGAGCATCATGGGAGCAGCACAGTACGTGATGCAGGATGCAGCCCTGCTGAGCTACATTGACCAGCGTTTTCTGTCTCTGGAGGTATGTGCCTGATGAATCCTTCTGCAGCAAAAGAGGCTTGAAAATGTGTGGATGTTCTGGGGCCAGGACAGTCTGTGTGATATATCAGATCAGGAGGGTGAATTTCCAGCTTTGTCCAATGAATGAGTAAAATCGTTGCTAAAACTTTAACTGTAATGATCCCAACTCACCACATCATTTGTTGCAGGATAAAATTTCATAATGTTATGTTTTTATTCTGTTATAATCTGTATTTTTTTTAATGACATCATTGAATTTAGCTAAAAATGCAAATGTTTATACAGAACTGTCACAGACCATCCTAGGGAGCAGTATAAACTTATTTTCACCTGTAGAAGTGCTGTCAAGTATTTATTATCAAGGAGATAAGAAATTTATCAGGTATTTTTCTCCTGTGTGCAGATATCCCAGCCTGGAAGGGTAGTTTAAGACACACTCATGCAAACCAGCAGTGTATCTGTACTTCAAATAAACCCTTAATATCAGAGACACTGAAATGCACTACTTTCAATTCCTTGAATTCCTTTCAATTACTTATATAAATGTACCAGTTCTTACCTTTTTCCTACAGTAAAAAGCTACTAGTACTGGAAAATACCTCCTCAGTATTGGTGTGTTATAATCATATATTGTTTATTTTTGATTATTGACAAGTCCCTGGCCCCTGGCTTGCATTTTCAGATTTACAGAGAAGCTCAAACTTGCCTGATTTGATGTCCCTTTTTTGTGCAAAGCCCTCATTAGTCTTATCTTTTCAACACTGAAGGATTAACCTGATATTCTCTTCCCACTGTGCAGATGGAGATTTACATTTTCTTTGCCACTCTAGGAGTAGCTTCCCCTGGCAATTTCTCTTCCTTTGGCACCCATTAAAATTGAGGTAACCTGTGGCATTTGGTGCAAGGGGCACAAAAGGAACAGGACAGAGAATGAGGTAGATACTGATGACAGCACTTGAAAGCATTTGAAATAAAGGTTTTGTAGAAAGCAATTAAGCAACTTCCTGGGGGCTTATGGTCTTGTATAAATGGGGGAGAGAGGACATAGCACAGAAAGCACAGCTCACAAAGCAAACCAACCAAAGATCTGCTCAAATTCCTCATCTTCCCAAAGTGGCAGCTGAACTACTATTTTCAGGACACCTATGAAGCAGCTGTATTGCAACAGAGAAACATATTACTTACCTTTGAAAACACTGATAATTTGAATTTAGGTGTAAAGAAATAGTTTTTTGCCTTTCTGTGTTTGCATGTTTTTGTTGTTTGGTTTTTTTGTTGTTGTTTTGGGTTGGTTTTTTTTTTAATACAGCCAATAATTTGCGGAAAAAAAGACAAAAAAAAAGAAACAACACAAAACTTCTTCAACTGTAGCATATATTTCAGTATTTTCATTTTCACCTTTAAATGGGTGAAAAATAGCCACACTAGATTCTGCCTTGGTCAGAAGAGGTGTATCCATGTGAAATGCTCATGGCTGTACATTTCCTGCAGAAAACTCTTTGAGACTGCTTCACCAGAGCACTTTTCTTTCTTTAGGCAGCAAAAAAAAATATCTAGCTGTGAATAACCATGTCTGTGGCCACAGCTCTCTTCAGAAAGCAGCAGGCACAACTTCACCAAGGACTTTTCCTGGGGAAGGCAGGGAGAAGCCCAGAGAAGAAGAAGAGAAAACAGTTCTTGTCTCTATTCACTGCGCCTGTTGTTTGGCACATGTGGAATGTGTTATGGAGATTGTTTACCCAAAGTTATTTGTTAATTGGACACTAGTGAAGGTTGTTTGGATTCCTTGGCCACTTGGGTCAAAGCTGTGTCCTGGCTGTCTCCGGACAGTCACAGGGTTTTCTTTAGTATAGTGTAGTATTTTTTAGTATAATATCTCTTTAGTATGTAATTTAGTATAGTATTAGTGTAATATTATAGCTTAATAAAGGATTTGTTCAGCCTTCTGAACCATGGAGTCACAGCATGTTATTCGCCGTGTTGGGGTCATCCTGAAACTATACATGTCAAGTCAAAAAAATGTGGATTTTTGTCCAGACTTTTGAATTCTGTGCCAGTCTGAGATGTTCTCCTCACACAGACACCCAGCAAGAGCCCCCTGGGCCGCAATAGGTGGGTGCAGGGCACTGAGCAGGAGGGAGTAGCAGGGTTGTGAAAGTAACCACGAGTGAGGCCGTGATGCACACAAAATACCCATGTCTGTCCGTGTGTTCTCTTCCTGTGTTCTGGTTGAAGAGGAGGCTGGAGAAGTGCAGCCAAGACCTGCTGGAATACGTGGATGAGGTCAGAGAGCTCTCCAAGGCGGCACTGGCCCGCCTGGCAAGGCTGAGCACCGACAAGGCTGAGCTTGAGGGGGAAGTGGAGAATTTGCTCACGAGGGTCGAGCGCGCCCAGAGGGACATCGACTATTTCGGATCCATCATGGATTCCAACGCCTGTGTGGAGGTGCACAAGGACCTGCTGAAACAGCAGCTGCTGGAAGAGGCAGAGGAGAAAAAGAGACTTAAACTCATGCTTAATGCAAGTAAGAGCAGTTTGTTTTTCAGAACTTTGGTGTGAACAGTCCCACGTGTGCATGCTGGCACAGGGATAAGAGATTTTCATCTGCAAGGGGGTTTGGGCTGTGTAAATACCAGACTTATAAAACCCATGTATATGCAAAAAAGGTATGGGAGAGGGAGGGAGGGAGGAAAATACAGTTCAAACATTTACTTTGCAGAAATTCTACTGCATATCAAATTAATTCTTTGGAAGTTACATTTTATTATAAAATAAGGTAAAATCCCCTGAAGGTGTGCTGTTGCAAAGTCCCAGAAAAATACATTTCTGAGTACTGCAGCTGTACCAAGGAATTAATAGTCTTTGCTTTTTGGACTAGGCAGGGTCAAAACCTCAACTCAAAAGTAAATTAATGGGTTAATAAACTACTTAATTTACTTCTACAATTTTTACCTGCTTTACTGCACTGCTCTGTCTCCTTCCTCTCCTTGTCCCCTCCTTTAATAAGAGAGCACACTGGCTTGGCTGTCAGCTAAGCTTACCTCTGATTTTAAAACTTGGTGCTATGGTACCTAGCATGAAGAATAATGCACAATCTATATTTTTTTAAAACAAATGACATTCTATAATTATCTTTACCTTAAGAAGTTTTGGTATAGATGTAAACTATGTATTACAGACATATTTAAAGAAGACTGTTTTATTTTCATAGTAGTAAGAAATGAAGAGTAAATAATAGGAGATTCAAATTGAAATTTTTAAAAAGTGAGTGAAAGAACTTTAGCATCATCAATTATACAGTTCCACTGACTTCAGCAGAATTAGGTTGATTTAATTTTATCATAAATTTACAATTTCTTCCTTAGACTTTTCAAACATCAGTATTAAGGCAGATGCTTACAGAGGCAATCAACTATTCTGCTTCTGAGTCTCCTCATACTCCACAATTCAGTGTTCTGAATATCAATACTTCTGTTTTCCATTTAGAGAACTTTTGGACATTGGGCATTTTTTTCAGAGAGGAAAAAAATAGGGGATTTTTAAATTGACTGTGGTTAAGACACTTTGAAAATTGTATCTTTCTGAGAGTTTCAGAGGAGAAAAAATTACTTTACATTTTCCTTTGTTGGAAATTATTACTTTTAACTTTATTGTAGCAGCTCATGGTAACTTTATTTTCATTTTGTTCTCTACTGTCAGTACTAGTCAGATGGTTTTCCCATTGAATTTGATGTCAAAAGTATTCCCTGTGCAGATTTTACAGCACTTAGAAAAAGTAGGAAGAACCTCAACTCTAGAAAATAGCAGCTCTGCTTCTATGCTTTCATGTCTTAACCAGACTCTATGATTATTTTTGCTGAGTCACTTCAAAAACCTAGCAGAAAAGAGGGTTTTTATGTCCAGCTTTGTTACTGTGTTTGGGTTAAGTTCACACAGAAAATAACAATCAGAGAAATCAGAGACAAAAATCTGGTTATTTCCCCTGCAGAGGAAGATGCTGCTAAGGCTGCCTAGAGTTTTTGATTCAGCACCTTTAATTTTTTTTAATCTATCTAATCAATAAATGTTAGGTTTGAGAGAGCTGTTGTGGCTTGCTCACGGAAGCCACTTCCAGAGTGAGGACTCTCAGGGAAAAAAATCCACTCTGTAGCAGCAATATCCAAAAGCTTTGATTAGACGGTATCAGTGCACACAAATTACATAAAGATTGCTTTCTACAGGCAACTGGAGTCTTGCCACTGGCTTCAATAGGTTCCTATCAGGCAAAGCAGGGGGGCTGATTTTGCTTTCTCCATTTCATCTGCTGCCAGAACTTCCTGCCTTAGAGCTTTGTTTGTCCTGTTTACTGAAATGGCTGCACTCCACTGAAAGCAATTCTTTCAACTTCAAATGCTGTGCCCTGTAATTTATGAGTGCCTTTGGTAAACAAGCTTGGTTAATATGTTTTGCAATAGTTTTTAGGGTTTTTTTCCTGGAAAGGATGCTGCTTGATAAAGATCTCAGAGTCTAAATGCCCGAGTCCTCCCAGGCTTGGTGCTTTCTGGTCTGAAATGTCCCTGCAGAGTGCACAGAAAATGTGAAGAAGCCAGAGCTGTGGCCAGTTGAGGCCAATTTTAAACCTACAGGGAGGTAAAGATGGTTCCACCAGCCACGCTTCTGGCACAGGAATTGGTAGCACAGACACCACCCCAGCTCCTTCAAAGGCCACCTCAGTGCATGCACACGCCTGCTTGTGTGATCTATATTCTGTTCTTGCTCCTTTGTGTGCAGGTGTTGGGAAGGTGAATGGGAAGATAGCCCAGTTTTTTGGCTTTCAGTTATGCTGATCTCTTTTTGTTTCGATTTATACTATAAATGCATAAAAAAGAGGCTATCTGAGGATAAGACCAGTCCTGAATCAAAAATACTATACATGTGAATAATGGATTTTAATTTGTATGCCTCCAACAGGAAATAAATCTGATTACTTTACCGTGTTGATCTAAACCAGAAGTCAGTTCTCCAAAGTAAAAATTATAGCCCTGTAAAAGGACAGACAAGACTAATCACAAAATCACTAACTGTGCTCTTGGTCTCCTCTCAGACACACAAACATCCAAATGTTTTGGATAACACTGGTGTAATAGAACAAAGCCCAACACTCTACAGGTAGATGAAGATACTACAGTTTTATTAGAAGGAATATATAATAATAATGTCATAATATTATTCAAATATAATATATATTATTATAGATTATATATTAATATATATTATTGTAAAATCATTATAGAATATAGTATATATATTATATATTTTTATTTATATATATATTGTTATTTTATATATTATTCAAATATATTCAAATATACTAAAATATTATTCAAATATAATATCACATAAAACCATTTTTAGCACTACTTACCAGAGCCACACTGCTGACACCTTTACTGATATATTGATGAATTAAAAGGAAACTAAGTAATTCAAAGAAAGGAAACTAGAAAATTTACAGATATTCTAATTTTATTTTTCTTTGTCTTTGGTTATTTCCTTGCAGGCTGTGACCACATGCTTGCAGGTATTAGGTCCCTGAAGGTAGTTAAGAAAACTGGAGGAAAGCATGGCTCTTGGATGAAAGATCCTGGCAAAAAGCATGCCAAGATTTATTTATTAAGTGGCTCTGTGAACAACGTGATTTTGGAATTTGCAAATATCATGGCTTTCATGGAGAACAACCAGACTCTGAAGGCTCGCAGAGTCCCCTTGCCAATGCCCTGGGAAGGAACTGGCCACGTCATCTACCAGGGCTTCCTCTTCTACCACAGGCACGGCTCCTTGAACGAGATCGTGAAGTTCCACCTCCAGAGAAGGAACGTAGCTGACCAGATGCTGCTGCCAGGGGCTGGGAGGATTCCTGCCTACCAGCTCTCTCCACAGACAAAAATAGACTTGGCTCTGGATGAGCAGGGGCTGTGGGCCCTCCATGCAGAGCCAGAGACCGGGGGGAACATTGTCCTCACCAAAATCAACCCCATGGCCATGGCGGTGGAGCACAGCTGGGACACACCCTGCAGCAGCAGGGATGCTGAGGCAGCTTTCATGGCCTGCAACACCCTGCACGTGGTCTACAACTCTCCTTCTGGGGGCTCCTCCCGCATCCAGTGTGTTTATGATGTTTTGGGTGCTCTGAATGTTCACACAAACCCAGGACTGCATTTCCCAAAACGCCAGGGTGGCCACTCCAGCGTACACTACAATCCCAAAGAGAGGCAGCTCTTTGCTTGGGGTGATGGATCCCAGATCATTTACAAACTTCACACAGAGCAGAAAGTTTAAAACCTTTAGCAGCTTTTCAAGCAGACCTAAAAGCCATCAGTCCCAGGTCAACACAGCCTTTTTATGTGTGTTAAAATTGCATTACTCCCAGCTGTTACAACTTTCATCCATTTTACGGAACTTAAGACTTATGTACCCCAGTAATCTTAATGCCCAATAAAGAATATGTGAAGACTGAATTAATATAAATTACATGATGACTAAATACCACACATACACAACCCCTCTCCCCCCCCACCCCCCACCTCCAAAATTAAAGTCTAAGGGTAGTTAAAAGAAATAATAGCCCATTTCTGACACATTCTCTTCCTATTGAAACTATGTTTTCTGTTTCAATGCCATGGAAATCAAATCAGAACTCCTTCCTGTCCAAAACATAGTCTGACAACCTTTCCTACTCTGAAGATCACCATAGAAAGCCTTCTAGTAAGCAATATAAAATCACATGCTTCCAGAGAAATTAGATATCAGTTTTAACAGGAGAGGTTTATTTTACAACAAAGTGTAGGAATATAGAGCCCCATAAACATAATTTATATTTAACATAGAACTCTCATACATCACATCAAGGCTACTCCTATTCCTTGAACCTCTAGAGTATTTCCATGAAAATTCCACACTTCTTACCCATATAGCTGTACAGACCACTGTGGATCCTGCTAGTACATTAGTTGCAGCCAAATATTTACTTTTTTCAGCTTCAAGTCACCACTTCTCACCATTTTTGAGTATATTGCTGTTTGTGTGTCAGAAGGAATGTTCCTAGGTGAACTCTGTGTCACACACCACTTTTAAAGGTTTTACATGTCACTCTTTGGTGTTATTCTCATTAGGTCTCTTTCAGCATCTACTTGTGAGGCATTTCCCCAATGTCTCAAGTCACTCCCACTGGTTACAGCAGAATCTTTCTCATCCTATCCTCCACCTCCAGGAAAAGGTGGCTCAGGTGAGCACAGCACTGCAGGTGAGGGCACGGCACTGCTCAGTCCTGGGTTTGTGAATCACAGATAGACTCCAGGTATTTTTTTCTCAAAAATAATGTTAAAAATGTTAAATAATGTTAAAAAAAAGGCTTTTAATGCAAAATACAGGTATAGACTGTATTTTTTATTTATTTTAATGGCAGCAGCATGTCCAATAGCAAACAAACAAACAAACACAACAAAAAATCCCCTCTGAAAAACCACAAATAATGGTACTTGAAAAGCAATCCACAGCTGTTGCTACAGAAAAACTCATTTTGTTCATTACGCTGAGAGAGCTGTTCTGTTTAAAAATAGCTTCCAGAGAACAGCCAGACATCAGGGAATGATTTTGAAAAGGAGTTCCGGGATACAATTAGGAGTGTATAGACTGCTGGGCTGCACCAGTGACACTCTGCCTTCAGCACAAGGAGCTTTATCATTCTGAGCAGGGGTAGTGAGTGGAGCACAGCAGACAGAGGGTGCACAGCCACAGACACTCCCCCCAGGCTGCCAGGGATGTGGGCTGGCACTGCTTTCCTGGCTTAAAGGCAGTGTTTGGCCTTTTATTCTTCCTCTGTAAAATTACAAACATGTAAATACAAAATGGTATCAGCCGCCTCTGTGAGAACTTTTACTGGAAAGGATGTGTAACTTCCTTTATTTAGGAAATAAACTCTTTGCATGCAAATATGGATTTAATCTGCTTTTTAGAAAAGGGGTTCTTGGGATGTCTTTGTGCCATACTATTACTCAGCAGAGGAAGCCCATGTCATTATTCTGCAGAAAGATTTCAATGTGCAACCCTCAAAAGTTCAGGCAGGGTCTTCTCTGAGCCTTGCTGCCCTGGAAATCCAAACTTCATGATGAACTAAAGCCCAAGAGGGGGTGGAGCACCCAGACATCCCATCAGCAGCAAAGGGAGGCACAGCCAGCCTGCACAAGAGCTCCCAGCACTCTGTAAAACAACCGCTCATTGTCAATCCCTGCCTGGGCCCTGCTTTTCCACACCCTGGCTGTGTGCCAGGAGTGTGAGGACATCCCATGTCCTCTGCACAGAGCCCCAAGGACAGGGCAGGATAGGAGCTGGCATCCTAGGGGCCACTGTGTCAGCACCACACAAGGAGTCTCTGGGAGGCACTGAGGAAAATCCTTCAGCCCTGGAGGTGGAGCTGGGGTAGCACTTCTCAGTCTGAGGTTCACTCTTGCTCTATTTTCTAGTCTTAAGATGAAACCTTTGGAACTGCTTTTGTTTTTCTCAATCCCCATGGATATTTTGGTGTCCCATCTGGGAGTTTCACTGCCTACACTTCACCTTGGCTGTGAAAAGACAAAAAACAATTTAAATCACTTCAGCATCGCTCACACTCTTCCTGGAGCACAACATGGACCTGGCCACTGGTGCTGCATCAGGGAACAAGCTGGGAAACAGGCTGTGGGTTGAGGTGGCACATGAATTTTGTGGCTGTGGTGGCAGCAGCATCTCTGGGCTTACAGCACCGGTGACAGGTGAGGGATTCACATCTGTGAATATGGTGTGCTCTGCTGATCAGTGAACATTCTTGTAAGAAAAAGGTGGCAGGGATTCTCCTCCAGCTTCCTGGCAATCTCTGAAATATATATGATTTCGTTAATTTTCATAACTGATAGCACACAAGCACATATTTTTGAGAAAGTCAGAAGAGACATTTGGTTAACTCCCAGACGACAAAGGGAAAAAAAAAAAAAAAAGAAAAAAAAAAAAGAGAAGGACTGTCTGTTCTGAAAGAGAAAGTAAAGAATGACAAATATCTGAACTGAATAATCTGCTCCAAGACGGCAATCTCCAAAAGGCAAGGACAAAGGACTGTCAGGAGGCAGGAGACAGCCATGACAAGACTGCATGAAAGAGGGCATTGACTTCCAGTTCAGGTAGATTATATGATTGTTACCATGGAAATGGAATTGGTACAAGGGGACCAACACAGAGGAGTCTTCATCAGGAGCAAAAAACACAAATGAGTTTATGACCTCTACCTTCACCATCTAGATAACATCCATTACTCTCCTTGTTATTCAAGTCCTTTTATGCTACACTTTCTCCATGTGCTCACTTTGCCTGAACCACTGAGCTCATTCCATGTGAACCACTGGCTTTTTTCTTTTTCATGTCCAGACCCTCCTCTAGAGGGGAATTCAGTGCCCTCTGCTCTGACAGCAGGATCACCATCCTCCCAACAAAAGCAGCACTCCTCAGTGCTCTGGCTGTGCTGCAGGTCCCTCACCCCTTCAGTGACACTGCTGTCACCTCATCCTTTTCCTGCAGTGGGTAGTGACTGCCCCTTCCCGTGGTGAGAGCAGGTTTCACTGCACAGATGCTCCTCATTTCCCTGCCATCCATTCCCTCTGCCATCTCTTCCCCAGAAAGGTGGCTCAGGTCAGAATAATCTGCAGTGATTATGTCCTGTTTGCACTTGGAGCAGTCAGAATTATCATAGACAGAAAAGTTTTCAGCTCTCACGGTTTATTGACATCCATATGATGAATTTAAGCTTTCTGACAACCATGTGCTTTCTTATTTGGATTTTGTGAATACTAAGGATCTGTGACTGCTAAAAACAACTTAACCAGTAGAGCAGAGTGTGCTGCTAGGAGCATGCGAGTTTAACCGGGTTTATTTTTACAGTTCCCATCAGAGATAAACTTGTTTGTCAGAAAATAATCCTCCTGTCTCTTTTTCTTCTTCATTCCCACCTGCCTGGGTCTGGAGGATGAGAGTCCCTTTTAGCATTTACTCAAGCAGGCACCATTTCAGAAAAACACACTCTACATGTTTGTGACAGGGGGGTTTATCACTAAAAAATGCAGCTGTTGTCACCCTGCTCTGTCACGGTGCATGTTTTTCCCCCTGTGCTGTTTCCCGCTCAGTTGCATGGAAGCTCAGCAAAGAAACTGCAGAATCAAAACCATTAAAATGCAGCTCACTCTCCTAATACTGAAGAAGTAGCTCCTCCTGAAGGCAGAAACCAGGACCTGTGGCTTTTTGAGTTGTTTGAACTTTCCCTGGGTTTCCCTTGCATATAAGAAAATAACTTTATTACACTTCCACCAGACTGAGCCAGAAAAAGGAATGTGCAGAATCCCAGAATGAATAAAGTTGGAAAAGATCTCTGAGATCATTGAGTCCAATCTTTGACCAGATACAAGGATGCCTCCAGGGATGGTGACTCTACCACCTCCCTGGGCAGCCCCTTCCAATGTCTAACCACCTTTCTGCTGGTGATATCTGGATATTGCTCAGTCTTTTTCCTGATGTTCATACTGGCATGGGTGTCATTTGCCTCAGAATTTAGTTTTGCAAAATATATCAAAAGCCCTTGTTATTTTAAATCACTTTTTAGAATAATTTCGAACAAGTAAAACCTTTATGTGGAAAAGGTGAATAAAAGAACTTTCTTAACTGCTCCCTGTGCCAGTGTCATATTTATTGCTTTTCCTTCTCATTTAAGGATGATTTCTCCATGGGACTGACCCCATCTAGTGAGTCAGTCCCTACTCCACGATTACAGGACTGGGGCTTTTCTTTTGGCTTTTTGAACTGTTTCTTAAGAGTAGAAGAACAAGGGGAAAAAAATCTGTGGAAAATGTTTTATTTTATAAATCTTTAGAAGTACATCAAAAAGAAAATACTTCTGAGGTGGCCAAGTTTTGAGAGTTCCTAGCAGACTCTGACCTGGTTTTCTATTCCCCAGTACTATCTTCACCCAACTAATCTGAAAACTGATGCTGAAAGATATGGCATTTTTGGGAGCAGCTGTAGGGATACCCACTTTAGAATGTGCTGGGGCTATATCTGTGTGTAAAGAAAACCCCACCTATGTTAAACAGTCCCCACAGTCTGGGTAGGTAATTCAGACCTTGGGTAGGGAAAAACACAGTTGGTTTTGCCTGTAACACTCATTTGCATTCAAAGCAAAACCACAGGCACACAAAGTGGTGCTGCCATTTCTGACTTTACCAGATCAGGAGGCATTTTTAGGGTGCAATTTTTCCCAAACTGTGAGCTCAAGGACTTGATACACACTGAGGTGTATTCCCCCCACTCCCTGTCATGAAGAGGGCAGTGCCATCTCTGATGAGCACAGACT